AAACCAAGTGATTTTTTTATCCCAATAGATTCTTTAGCAAGCAAATCCACGCGGACATGGGTAATTACGATTTTTAAAATATGATGCGAGCTAATCTTGTAAAGATTCAACAAAAAAATCTGCTCGGCACATACCACATTGCCGTATGCACTTCCGTGAGATCACCTTGAAGAGCATGTTGTCGAAGGATAGTGTTAGCTTTGTCTTGAAATACGCCATCCCACAACCGTACAGGAGACTAAATTATTGTCATTCTTCCAGGACAAGTACAGTAGGAACCTGAGGCTCACCCCACTGAGACGAATCTCGTAGAGAGCAAACTGTCTCATAAGTTCGATATGTTCTTTAACATCCAGTAGATCATCTTCTTCAGCTCCAATACGTTCTTCGCGTGTGGAAAGCCAAAGCTGTAAACGGACACTCGGTAAATTTGTTCAATCACATTTTTTATGTAGAAAAAAATCAACGAATGGTTTCTTTGCATAGAAAGGGAAATAAGATATTTTCTCGCGCACTAAAAAAATTTTTTGCGGTAACTTGATATGTGTTTCCTCATAGAACCATTAGAATCAAATGTCTTGCCCTTTCATCAGTTTCTATCATCTTTCCACCTGCAATAGATGGTCGAATTTTTTGAAAGGAAGGCCAAAACTCGCAAAAGCGCGCATTTTTTGAAGTTTTTCTTATGTCTGATGTTACAAAGTAGATTTGAATATCAATCCAAACGTTTCGAGTCTTTCTGCAGTTAATTTACACATTTGAGGATGAATCCAAAGTAAGAAAAAAAAGGAAATACAGGCGATTCTGCGAGTTTCGCGCGTCTATCGAAAAATTACTGCAACTGCTGGTATGCAGATATGGTAAAAATAAATTAAGGGTAACCTTACAGGATTCGGCACTCATTAACTACATAAAAATAAACGTATATAGTGAAGTAGAGAATAAATGCTTGAAAAAACCACCACTACCTTTAATTTCACGCTGCCGGAGACTTTGCTTTTTTCAGAACGTGGCTGTAATGTAAACCATTGCTCAATGCCATCCGGAGGGATGTCCTGTAAGAGTGAAAATCAGATTTAGTATGCCTCATAACTAATACATGCACTTACACTCAGATTCATACTAATGCATCCCAAAAAGTCATCTGTGGTATCTTCCGAATCAGCTCGTGCACTTTGCGCAACTTCTTTGAAGAAACGACCAAGACCCTAAGCAATGAAATCAGTCACGAGAGGGTCTCACATAAAATTAGTCAAATTTATGCACAACTGCTATATAAGGCACGTTCATCATGATGCACAGGAATATATGATGTAAAATGTTTTTGTATAATTATAAAGTGAAGCAAATTTTGCAGTTAAAACTAATGCACAACTTCTTACGATGCTCCTCTGTCCTTAATAAGAATCATTAATACATGTTATCTCACGATAAGCGATTACTTGTAGACTAGTGTAGCAAGCTCTACAAGGCTCTGTATGTATAATTTTCCTGAAAGCTTTGCAAATGCATTATAAGGAGTATGCAAATGAAAGATCCCGCTTCTGTGATTGTGATTGTGATTATT